GGCCAAGTATGTCGTGATGATGATGCCGGGGGACGGGGGAGCAGGATGGAGTTAAGAACAGAGTGACACTCCGTCGCTGCAGGCCTCAGCTTCCAAATCCTACCAGACCAGACTCGACGTGTCTGGTGAGTGCTGGGATTGTGCGCGTCAGCGGGGTTCGCAGGCCCGGAGTGCACATGCATGAAGTGTCTGGTGGTATGGACATTGAAATCTGGTTTAAATGTTAGTCAATGGGACAGGGGACTTGCTGGCGCATGTGGGAGTGGCCAGGCGCAGTGGCGTGTGGCGTGTAGCCCTGGGCGCACAAGCTCGACATTAAAGTCTGCACATGCATGCGGTACTCACTCCGGAGCTTTTCTCCCACATCTCAACACAGCCAATAGCGGCCCTTGCTGCCAACTTGTGCTAAGCTAGAGGTCACAAAGCTTCGCACATGCGTGCATTGGTACATTCCTATTTGCTCGATTTCAAGCGTCAGACGAACCAGACTCTTTTGGAACCCAGGGTGATTACATATTTGTGAGCAACGAATAATGTCTGGAACAGCGCGGAGTGCGTAAGATATATACTCCGTATGTAGTGATGGATTAAAAGGTCAGACGCGCGCTGTACACTTGCTTGTTATTGTACTATTACCAAATGGGTGCACTGTTAGAAGGCAGTCGGTATTATGTACTTAGGTACTTACTTAAGTAAGTACTTGACTTCTCGAGACAATGCATTCTACTTACAAGTACCCGGATTTTATGTTGGGTTCCTGGGTTCCACGAATACATGACAATTGTTTGTTCTTTCTGCCCCGCCACCAATTCGTCTCGATCCGATACTCTCTTCCCCACGTTGACCTTCTGAGCACATCCTGGTCCCGCTGTGCTTTGCTGCAGGCCAAAGCTACTAAAGGACGTGAACTAGATCCCCTGCATGTGTCTCTGATTGTCACCTACATACTTATGTACGTACGTGCTTCGTCCGGCTAGGGAAAATGGGGAAACACGATCCTGCTGCGGGGTGAGTCAGTCTCGGAAAATTATGGCTGCCTGGTGTTGGGTCGTCGCGTCTACGCCTTCATGTACTCGCTTTTCAAGCACAGGTTAACAAATAATCTATTGCTTTTGTCCACCGGAGGCTGGTGTTTTATATAGCAAGGGGCAAAACTATATAAAACCAGGTCAGGTACCCAAATACAGCGCCCTAAACTACCATTTAATATATTAGTATATTAATGTATACTTCTCGATGGATATGTATATATCTATTCTGCCGCGGACTGTAATTGCAGGTAATATACAGAAGAGGGTTGGGATCGCACACAGACTACTTATAGGCTCGTTATCACAGTCAATTCATGAATATCTAACACATACCACGACGTAGGCAATCAAGCAAGTGAGAAGCAGAGAGTGAGAGACGGGCAACTGTGTCAGCAAAGACCAAGAGCTGGGAAGGAACATTATTTACGACGAACGACGATGCTATAGTCGAAATAAACGTCCCTACCCTGCATTCAGATAAATGACAATCTCGCGTGCCTTGAATTACCGCGGTAGGGCTCCGCGGACAGCCGCTAATTTGGGTGGGGAAATCGGTTCGCTTACAGCCGGTAAAAAGGCGCTAGCGGCCATCAAGGGAACTGGCAAAAGGCACGTCAACTGGTGAAACGGAATTTCGGAAGCGGGCTGGATCCAGGCTTTGGTACGGAGTGCAGTGTACCAGCCCACCAGTGAGTGCGCTTGTAACATTTACCCGCTCCATCACCGACTTCGCTCTTGCATTCTCTCGCACGTTGCGCTCAAAGTTGCTCCTGTGACATCTCCGCAGGCTTCCCGTCAATTGTTCAGAAAATAACTGGAAAAGCCTCTACATTGGCCCATCATGTCACAGGAGAAGCCTCTCCCCTTCATCTACCAGTTCGCCGCAGGTATGCCATGCTGATGACGAGCCCAAAATGTTCCGATATATCGGAACCGGCTAACAATGCCACAGGCGCCATTGCCGGTGTGTCGGAGGTATGCCTTCCACGCGATGCAATACACACGAGAAATATCATGTTCTAACATAGAATTTTGTCAAGATTCTGGTAATGTGAGTGTGTCCCAAGGATTGCTTTCTGGCATAAACCTCCCATGACAACCCACTGACGCACATCTCACAGGTACCCATTGGATGTCGTCAAGACTCGCGTGTACGAAGTTCCCGCCTCCTCAAGACCGTTTCATCGATCCGTGAACTAACTTTGCCAGTCAACTGCAAACCGGAAAGGGCAGTGGCGCCGAGTCTTATAATGGCATGTTGGACTGCTTCCGCAAGATCATCAAGAATGAAGGGTGAGGACTCTAGCCTGAACACGGAGAGTCACGGCATTGACATTTTCATAGCTTCTCACGTCTCTACCGGGGAATCTCGGCTCCTATCCTCATGGAGGCCCCTAAGCGTGCTACAAAGTTCGCCGCCAACGATGAATGGGGCAAGGTTTACCGCAAGATGTTCGGCATGAACACTATGAACCAGTCCCTCTCTGTTCTGACTGGTGCCACTGCCGGTGCCACTGAATCATTTGTCGTCGTCCCCTTCGAGCTTGTCAAGATTCGTCTTCAAGACAAGGCCTCTGCTGGAAAGTACAACGGCATGGTTGACTGCGTTGTCAAGACCGTCAAGAATGAGGGTATCTTGACCATGTACCAAGGTCTGGAGAGTACTTTGTGGAGACATATTCTCTGGAACGCCGGTTACTTTGGTTGCATCTTCCAGGTCCGACAGCTGCTGCCCAAGGCAAGCACCAAACAGGGTCAGATGACGAACGACTTGATCTCTGGTTCCATTGGTGGTACGGTCGGCACGATTTTGAACACGCCCATGGATGTCGTCAAGAGTCGAATTCAGAACACCCAGAAGGTGCCTGGACAGGTTCCCAAGTACAACTGGGCTTGGCCATCGGTCATTACTGTGTTCAGGGAAGAAGGCGCTGGTGCCCTGTACAAGGGTTTCCTGCCAAAGGTAAGACGCATTTCCTTGTAGAGTCACTTGCACATGACGTTCTGACACGTACAATCAGGTTCTCCGTCTCGGACCCGGAGGTGGCATTCTACTCGTCGTTTTCACTACAGTCATGGATACTTTCCGCAAGTGGCAGTCATAAACATATACCCCAGCTAGACCATGAGGCCAATGGAGATACAATGCAGTGATGATGGAGACGCTCAACGCTCATTGAGGTTTGAATAAACGATAGACGCAGAACTATATTGCATATAGACAAGAATCACGGTAATAATAGCGATGCCATAATTGCCTTTTTCGTTTTGGAGGTGTAGAGTGTGATCTTTACCCGTCCGGAAGTGTGTGTGCTCCCACCGTGTTACTATAAGAGATACAAAAGCGTCAGGTCGAGTTCAATCTCTTTAAGCGGGTCGCGCCACCCGAGAACAATATTTTTATGTGTTCTACGGAGTAAGTATGCACATATACATGTAGAAAAACCGTCGTAGGAATAGGTGACGTGCAGCTTCCAACTTCCTCAGTCGGTCCAGCGTAAATCAAGGCCACCTATCATTAATTTTTATTGAAGATTTTTTTGGTGGTAGCGGCATGCCCGGCGTTGGGCCGCCATCGCGAGTCAGACACCCGTCGACTGCTATTACGTGTACATAAGAATGTATGTACGCGTCGATTTGCCGCTCGTAGAACAAGTTCTAAGTACTACCAGTTGACCTAAGCAAATATGGGATGTCAAGTGGATGTGGCTGGGGTGGATTGGCCGTTACGCTTGTGACGTAGTGCATTGAAGACTCCATGTCGACTGCGGCATTGGGGCCCTAGAACCTGTGTCAAGAATCAATTGACGGTGAGATTACATCTGGTGAACTGTGATGCGCATGCGCCACGCCCAAGTTGCCAACGAGACGACCTACCTGGGCAGGTACTTATCCTTGGCAGGTGGTCAAGCGGTGTTTGTCGGACAGTCGTGACGATCAATCGCAAGCCGTGCCAGCTAGGGCAGTGCAGTTCTGTGACTCGGTGCAAAGAAAGCAAAAAGTCTGGTACCAGTAATTTGACAGCATCCCTATTGAAACCGCTTCCCGCAAGGATAAGGACTGTCCATGATGACGTCGAAGCATTATGTAGCTACACACAGCGGCAACTACGAGTACGTAATCCGCAGCGAACGGGCGAAAGTACCCGGCCTGTCGTCGGTACCCTGCACGTACCAGACGGAGTACAGGGATGGAGGATGGCGGCCAGGCCCCAGTTGCAATAGTCTAGCGTCCAGTCTTGGCCAGGACAAGCCACTCGAACGCTGGCTGAGTGCTGCGACACTCTCTGAGGTTCGCCTCTCCCAAGGCCGGGAAGCCGCTTGAAACCTCGAACCATTCAACTCCCTTCTTTGTCTCGCCGTCGACAAGCCGCGTTAGCATAGGAGAATCTCACCTTGTACATACCGCCGCTCTCTGCGCTCGACTGGGATCCTTCAACACCGCTTGCACACCCCTGCTGGCATTGGCCTGTTCGTCATCACTTGTTCTGTCCGTCGCGCGGCCACCTGAGCTCCCTCTCCACGTGCACTTGCAGTCGAGCTTGTACTTGCGACGGGGGCAACCAAGCAACCCCCGCGACCACCGCCCTTCGGCTCCTGGTGACGAGCCTTTCAACCGTCGTCGTTTGACCATCCGAGACAGGTTGCCTTGCCAGTCTTTCAATTAGAGGGCTTGCTGTGAGAGGTGTTTCTGTGTTTCTGCGACGAGGGACAAACCCGAAGCTCATACGCCTTTGTTTCGCAGCGCCGCCTCGGTCAGTAGGTCCAACTTCGCTCGCCTTCGACTCTACGGTGTGAACCGGTCTCGCCGTCTCCGCCCTTTGTCTTTCGACTTCGAAGACAACTGTGAGGGGTGAATTTGGACAGCCTCAAAGCCGCGACCTGTCCCGAACCGTCGACTTTTTTTCTTCGTCTTTCCTACAAGCACGGCCAAGTCTACGGAGGCATTCAAGCCCCGCAATCGCCCATCATGTCCAAGGTTATGCGAAGTGTCAAGAATGTGACCAAGGGGTATTCCAGTACCCAGGTCAAGGTCAGAGAAGGTGAGCGACTTCCTGGAACGGCCTGTGATATTAGTAGCGCTATTTTCTAAACCGAGTGTCTTCAATACTTAACAGCTACGAGCAACGATCCATGGGGTCCAACCGGTACTCAGATGAGCGAAATTGCTCAGCTGACGTTTAATACGTAAGCTTTGTTGACTTTATACCCAATCAAACCATGATTGACCTTCTTGCCATGTACAGGTCGACCGAGTTTTACGACATCATGGACATGCTTGACAGGCGTCTGAACGACAGGGGCAAGAACTGGAGACACGTGCTTAAAGCACTCAAGGTTCTCGACTACTGTCTTCATGAGGGCTCGGAGCTGGTTGTTACTTGGGCCCGCCAAAACGATTATCTTGTCAGGACCTTGAGAGAGTTTCAATACATTGATGAAGAGGGTCGAGACGTCGGCCAGAATGGTAGGATGACTCTTCGACAGCTACAATGGCGGTTGGTATACTGACGCAGGTTCAACAGTACGAGTGGCCGCCAAGGACTTGTCCTCCCTACTTGCGGACGATGCGCGACTGAGGGACGAGCGAAGCAATAGAAGAAACTGGAAGTCTCGCGTAACGGGGGTGGAGGAGTATGAACCGCAGCATGCCGAGCCGTCAGCGTCCCGCCGACCTCGCGATAGGCGAGTTTTGGCCAACGATGAAAATGACGCAGAATACAGACTAGCAATAGAGGCTAGCAAGGTTCAAGAAGAAGAAGACAGGAAAAAGCGCGAGAGTAAGAGGACTGATGACGACGACAATGATCTGGCCAAAGCAATCAAACTCAGCCAAGAGGAAGAAGAAAGAAGGCGCCGCGAACTCGAAGACAGCAACGCCAACTCTTTGTTCGATGACTATCCTCCTCAGCCATCCACGTCAAATCAACCCCAGTACACCGGGTTCAACCAGGGCTACCAGCAGGGCAACCAGGTAGACTTCTTTGCCAACCCTGTCGACCAAAACGCTGTAATGAACCAACCCACCGGGTTCATGAACAATGCGTATACTGGATATCAGCAATCTCAACCAACCGGTTTCCAGCCAAACTACAACCAGGCCTTTGGTATGCAACCCACTGGTATGGGCTTGTATCCCTATGGTCAACAGCAGAACAACATGACTGGCTTCCAGCCGCAGGCGACTGGTTTCAACCCATATGCCCAGCAAATGCCTCAGCTTTCTCAACAGTCTTCGGAGTCTGCGCTGCAACCAGGCAGCAACAATCCCTGGGCCACCAACAAATCCCAACAACAGCCATCCCTGATGCCAACCCCCACAGGCTCAAACAACCCTTTCGCTCAGAACAACCGCCCGTTAACCTCGAACCCTATTTCCACTCTGGGAGCTTTGCCAGAGCAAAAGACTTTGTCAACCTTCAACAACCAGCTGATGATGCAGCACCAGCAGCCCCAGCAACAACCGCAGCACACCCTCAACCCTCCCCCGCAGAAGGAAATGAACGACTACCAAAGCAAGCTAAACAATCTCTTGGCAACGGGCGACGGCATGGATACTTATGGCAACACTGGAGAGCTTCGCATTCCTGCTCAGCACACGGCCCCAGGCATGTTTGCCAACAGTGCAGGTTCCGGGGTTCAGCGACTTGGTGCCAATGCTACGGGCAATCCATATATGCGTCAACAGTTCACTGGTATGCCAAGCGTCACATACGGCAGCCAGCCTACCAACGGCCAGGGCAGCAACAACCCGTTTGGTGCTGGGCCGCAGCAGCAACAGGGTCAGGGCCACGACCTTATTCAATTCTAATTTGATCTACTTCCTGAGCCCTTGATCCGCCCCTTGTTATTTTTGTTGGTACCGTTATTACAGTGAGTGGAGCAGGCTGTTGTTGCAGTACGCTGTAAAACCACCAAACATCTACAACAATACCCACCGTTTCCCCTTTGTCAAATCACGAATTTTTCTCTTTTTCTCAATGGCAATGAAGAATGCTTTACTTATCGTGTTGGAGCCAAAAACCCAAACTCACCATACCTGTTGTTTCTGCCGTTGATTCATCTTCATCTAGGGAGGATATTTTGGAAGTCAGACCTGGGCTGTGTATGTGTTGGGGAGTTGGGCAAGACTTGCTTTGCACAGGTGTGGTAGGGTGGTCCCAAATTACTTTTATTTTGTAACGGGTTATTTAGAGAGCGCTCTTTCCAATTAAAACTCCTAGATCTGATGCAAACGTGATTCCCTACTTTTCCAATGTCCAATGATTAACGACGTGAACAATTTCCCTTTGACACCCCAACGCCTTGTCGCCTGTGATGATACCCGAATGGGTGGACGGTGCCTTGCCATGGCGGCTGCTTTTTGACTCTGCATCGTCATGCTGCTCAGGTTAAGAACAGGTATGTAATCTTGGCTGCTTGAATCATTCGAGAGCCTGTAGCCCATGGGGAATTTCTGTGCTGAAGAGCTGCGGCAGCACACAAATCATGTGCGGTTGATATTAGCCGTGGGCGTTCTCTGAGCGACCTCGTGACCTCCTCATTGGGGCTCGGCGATGAAGAGTTTCCGACCGCGATGAGCTTGAACCAGACAGTCTGCTGGCTTGCAAGGCCGCGCGTGACCTGACTAGACTGTTTGCAATCTCGGCTGCCTCTTCGTCTACCCGGCCTCCTCCATCATCTGCATGAACTCATCCAGGCTGACGCCTCCCTTGCCATCGTGATCCAGGTGATCAATCATGCTTTGAATCTCCTCATCCGACAAGGTACGCTCGTCTTTGATCTCCTGTGCTAGGTGGCGCAAGTCCTCTACTGATATGAACCCATCCTGGTCGTAGTCGAACATGGCAAACACCTTGGCTGCCTCCTCGCGTGGGTCTCGATTGGCAATAAGCTTGGCGGCACATAACCGGAATTGGTCGAGGTATACGTAGTATCTGTTGACGGGGCAGGATTGCTGGTCATGCCAGTCTGGGGGGACGGAGCCGTAGGACTGAAGCTCGCGGAAGTATTCGGGCTTGCTTAGGTCGAAGCCAAGGGCGGCCAGGGAGTGTTTGAATTCGTACGAGTTAAGCCAGCCCTTTTTCTTCATGTCCATTAGATCGAACTGGCAGCCCATGGCTTGTTAGTAAAGGCATGACGGGGAGGGGAGTCAAGGTTGCATTCGCGGCGCAAAACTCACGACTTCGTCAATGTGCTCGCGATCCTCGTCGGCGATGGAGGCATATTCCTCGTTGGCGGATACTTGCGGAGCTAGGGGTTGCCGTTGCTGCTGCTGCGGCTGCGGCTGTTGGTTTTGCTGGTTTTGCTGGAATTGATGCTGGAGGGAGCTAGGTCCTATGGAGCGGCCCGGGAAGGGGCGCGGCGTGGCGTGAGGATTCATGGTTGTAGGACTGAGGAGTCGAGTTCTTGAAGATAGTGCACTGGCGAAACGCGAGTGTCGAGGTTGGAGAAGCAGCTAGAAATAGTCTCGCGCGTGAGCAACTAGCTTGCAACCAGTTGCCTGTAGGTTTCAGGAACGTGAGCGGAAGAGGGCGACTGGGTATGTTGTTGTTATTATTATTTCCGTTGCCGACCTGATGTGGAAGGGCTGGTGATGCTTGCTGATTACGCCGAGGAGGGAAAGGAAGCTTTTGCGACGCGCCTGGTCGAAACCACGCGCGACTCGCAGCCAAGAGGAGAGAGAGTATTGGGTATTCGTGCTACCCAAAATCGCTATGCGCGCGGACGACCCACTAATTTCCTGCTTTGTCGCGATTCAGCGAATCACCTGCTAGGGGAAGGAAGTTTGTAGTCCTTATTGCTACCCAACTCAAATAAATATACATAGATTGGTTTCTTCCGAGCAGTGTTTCTTGAGAAATACTCGGTGCAGCGGCTAAATACAAAGGCTTCCAAAGCTGGAGAAGATACAATAAATAGGGAGGATATCCTCTGGCCTGGTCAGCATGAAAGCTCCCTATATGGGGTATGAGAGGTGGTGGGACGCAGAGAAAATAGGCTTGAAGAGGATGTAGCTAGCTCATCTATTACGAAGAGCGGTTTTGTGCTTGGTATTCAATCTACCTAGCTGTGGACCCGAGGGCTTTTCATAGATGCCGATGGCGAATTGAAGGTTCGATACAAAATGCCCCCTGTACAGGCTTTCTGCGCGGAACCGCGCGCTCGAGGTATAACAGACAAGTTGAATCGCAAGAGAGTTCTCTAAGCTATGGATTGCGCCTGCTAGCAATGCTTGTGTAGTTCCATGCACGTGGCTGTATGATCCTCCACAGCGTCCTTGTTGTTGTCTGTAAATTTGAGGTTGACATGTTCTGGGCTTGCAGGCCCTTGTATGGAGGAAGACTGAATCATTCAATAGGCTCGTGCTCTGTGAGAATTTTGAAGCTACTTCGGTATCGGTTAGTATATTCTGTTATACTTGCTGACTATGAATCGACTCTGAGAGTTTGACTTCCCGGTTAGGCCGAAGGCAATCAAGCGAACTACGGGAAGATGTTGATACTATGAACAATACATTCAATCATTTTCTACTCGTCTTTCCCACATAATTCCCTCCATACAATGCCAGAGCCATATCACACGGTAGAGATACTACGTAATACTACCCCGAAACGACGCTCCGCTGCGAGGAAAATATACATATACACCCCTGGCAAGCCTGTCTCTGTTTCTGGGCTCGGCAGTAACGTCTATGGAAATGCTGCGAGATCCCACACAACCCTCTGTTCTATCATACAAGTTTCTGCAGATATTTTCGAAAAAAGTCACATGGGTATGGCACAACGCGGAAGGCATAGACTATTTGACCAGATCAGGTACCTGGCTATCGCGATCCATACCATCATATACTACAGTATATTATTGTATACTTTTTGATGGCCCTCCGGCATGAGGTAAAACTACCAATATTGGGTTATTTGGAAGCTTTTAGGTTGCCTTATTGGCTCCCTCGGGTGCTGGTTTAGCGACATTTTTGGTGCTGCGTAAATTACCAATTGTGTTGGCGTGTCTGACGCGTCACGATGCACAGCCGGTGTATTCTTTGGTCTCGTATTGTTTTTCTTGACTTGGTGCAGCCTAATACTGTCTTCTCAGATATCATGCTTGCACGATACTTGTATCATTCTTGTATTATCATTTGCCTCGAGGGTGACACAAAAACAACTCGGTATACTCTTTGATGGGCATATATATTCTGCCACTGCATCTCCAACTTGTTGGTGACAAGCCAAAGACTTGCGGACTAGTCTGTTAGGGCCCATATGTGAGGCACCATATCATTGTTGCTATGCCCTTCTAGCTAGCTCTCTTCCTTTCGCATCGTGATCAAGCTTTTCTCTTTTACTAGCTCTTCTGCAATACACACTCGTCAAATTGCATGACGAGCTCCTGTGCCTTCATCGTATACCCCTTGCGTAGTCCCGGACGTAGTCAGCCGTCGTGTCTCTGCTGCTTATGAAGAAATGGACGCAATGGACTATAATTAGGCAAAGCGGCGCTTTGTCTACGTTTTGCGTCATTGAGAGAGCCGTGGACGAGGTGATACAGCCGGGGATACGGGACTCTTGGAAAGAATGCTTGGGCATGTGGCTTTTTCACCGAAGCTTCAAATGTTGGTTCTAATTCCAATCATGTCCAGGACTGACTGGAGGTAGGGTGGTACTAACATTGAAGTACGAGTTAAAAATCATGGTTCATCGTAGTTGCACAGAACGACAGGCAACAGCGTCTCGCCCCACTGTTAGCAGCCTGGCTTTGCTGGGATTGAATCTTTGATCTTCACTAGAAGGTGATTCGCCAGAGCCTGATAATTTAAGGAATAAGTGGGTCGAGGCAGGCAGGTACTTCTTGGGAACCGCCTGGCCACAGGTGCAGACTTGGAATGCTTAATTTCGCGCCTCGCCTCCCAGACCAGAACTTCGCGACAACGCAATCGAGTCGGACTCGACTTTCATCAACGTCGTCGTGGTGGAATCAAGGCCGACACCAATTTTGCATTGGTGACTTTTACTCGACGACCGCGACCGACATCGGAATCTTTCCACGCCGAGAGCCTGCAGTTCAAATCGCGCCTCAGACGGGCGATTGGAGCTCTTGAGGCCCAACTATCGAATCGACTCCTGAAACCCGCGGCTCTGCTGCCGATAGATACGGGGTAATCATGTCGTTCGGTAGCGGAGGCTTCAGCGGCTTCGGCCAGAACAATAATAATGCCCAGTCTGGTTTCGGTGGATTCGGGTCCAACAATAATGCTCCATCAGGTAAGTGTTTTCTTGCATAGGCTGACGACTCCTGGCACACTGGATGCGATTTTGATGACTGACACGGCTCTGTAGCTTTTGGACAAGCCACTTCTGGCGGGTTTGCACAAAACAACACTACTGGAGGAGGCATGTTTGGAGGAAACACCGGCAATACTGGCGGCGGATTTGGTGCTTCGACTGGTAAGTCGTGACGGCGAATGCGTTTACACGTGTACTATCTGCCACTTGGGATGGGAGTTTGGATCTTGCTGGTCCACTCAAATTTCACTTTTGAACGATTTACTGACGGATTTTGTAGGTGGTTTCGGAACCAATACTGGTGGCGGCTTTGGAAGCAAACCTGCATTTGGCACCAGCACTTCGGGCGGTCTTTTCGGTGGCAACACGAGTAATACCAATACAACGTCCGCCTTCGGCGGCTTTGGAGGCAACACCGCTGTTAACTCAACCAGCTCGACATTTGGTGGCGGCGGAGGTACAACTGGCGGAATGTTTGGCGCGAATAAGCCTGGCTTTGGTACAACGACCAACACTGGGAATTCCC